CCAGATACCAAAATAATTTTTAATTACAGTTACAGTACAATACAATCACAGTCACAGTTACAGCACTTCACAACAATCTTAAACGTACTTTTAGTTTATAATCAATTACTTTTGGGCATAATTAATTATTTAAACATAATTCAATCTTTTTAAAAATAATCAATTATTTTGTCAACGAAAATTTTTTTTTTTTCTGTATCTTTTGATAGGAAACATATTTATGAGATTATACAATAATATAACCAGTTATATTATGTTATAATTGATTATATATTTTAAAATTTTTACTTTCTAAATCAAGTTGTTGACAAAAATGGTTCACTTCTCTATAATTTCCCCTCTTTTTTTTCTTTTTTTGAGAAAGTCCCTCGTTTTTTCCTTTTTTTTTTTTTTTTGAGAGAAAGTCTGAAGCAAACAGACCCTTGGTGTTTCTTTGGATCATTAAAATATCGGAATTGAAATGTCGGACCCAGTTGTTTATGAAATCTTAAAGAATGAAAGTTACTCAATTTTGGATGTGAGTTGGAAAGAATTTGCACTTTCAAAGAGTCATATTGGATGTTGAGTTTGGTGGGTCCTTAAACGTAAAAACAATATTCTATTATCTCTTTCCATTGTTCACATATTATTCTTTTTGTATGTTTGATCCAGGCCGCTTATCTATATATAATATGTGTATCGTTTGTCCCCTTGAATCCTTTGAAGATTTCAAACTAAAATTTTTTATTTGGAATCGTTTTATGTAAGATACAAGGTAATAATATACAAATCAATACATTACAAATATGAAGATTTAATTCCAATAGTTCATCCAAAAAAAAAAAAGATTTAATCACAATAATAAAATTATTTAAAAAAAAAAAAAACAGTATTTACGAAAGTTTAAACTCACAATTGTCTTTCCCGCTAGGTCAAAAGCATCATTGACCTTTAATTTGGAATCCTTAATTTTTTTATTTTTGTATTAAGATACGTCAATTTCTTTTAGTAGAATGTTAGGAATATTTTTTTAGTATTATTTATATGATTGGATTATATGGCATATAAATTTAACGTGATTTGTCAATATTTTTAAATTTAAAAATATTAATTTTAATATAAAGTATTATTACCAATCACATTAAATCTATATAACATGCAACCCAATTATACAAAGAGTGTTTAAGAAAAGTATAAAAGAGAGCTGCCAAATACTCCTCTTTTTTCTAAGTTAGAGTTGTCATATTTAAACTTAAGAGAAAGACTACCAAAGAAAGACACTTAAGTTGTAGTGTTTTGTTTCTATATTTTTTATATTGTTCAAAAAAAAAAAAAATTGTGAGGGCATTTGTCTCATATATATTGTCCTTGTGTGTTTGAGTTAAATAATATATATATATATATAGGATTCCACATAACTCCAAACTAATTACTTTTGAATTTATGATGTGTTTTATTCTTGTAGTTTTCATACTACTAAAAAAAAACTTAAGAGAGAGAATTTAAGAAAGGTGAGATAGGGTTAATGGATCATTAACTATGTTAAAAATGAAAGCCAAAAAACACTAGCTTTTTCTTTTTTAATTTGCAAAAGCACTTTATTATTAGAGAATACAAGGACCAATAAGAATTTGTTCTATTTAATACTTTTAATTTAAAATTTTTGATTTAGAGTTAAATGTTAAAAATTTAAATTTCTATGATCTCAAATAATTAATCCTTTGCTATATTAAAAAGAATTAGAGTGCAAAGAATACTTTAAACCTAGTCTAAACTTACAAGGTGCACATCAACCTCCTCTTTAAACTTTTCTAAAAAATACAAATATCACAAACTCGAATTGTATCCAAATATTGCATAGGATAAAGGCATGTTTGGATTAGCTCTTAGGATTTTCAGCTTTTGGATACTATTTATATTTTATGAATTTAAATTTTCTTTTTAAAAGGTTATATTTTTGAACATTTTTTTGACCTCAAAAAACTCTTAAACAATAAAAGTTCAAAAGTTTCAAATATAAACTTTTTATAAACTCCATTTTTACTTACTTTTTACTCATTTTTTTACATTTTTAAAAGTTAAAACTCTATTTTTCTTCCAATAAAAATTTAAATTTATCACTTATAACAATATTTAAAAAGTAAAAACTCTCACAAGTCACACTAAACAGCTCTAAAACACCTACTAAATGAGCGTTGTACCAATTTGCATGCCTCCGCCGATGTCTCAAGTTAACCATAGTTCACGATTTAACTCGGGGCAAATATTGTCTCTTATCCAAAAACCACAAGCTCGTTTGTTTGTGCCGATAAAGAAAAAAAAAAAGGACTTTGTATAATATTGTATTATGGTTGTTTTTTATTTTGTATAATTTCACTTTTTTTATGTGCTGATAAGCTTGTGGAGCCTTGGTTGTTAAAGCAATTTTGTCATTCATATAAAGAACTTTCACATCGTCATGATGAGTTTGAACTGGCAATGTCTTTTCTATCCTCCTTTTAATTCTTGCTCTAGCATATAGTATTAAAAAAAATTAGGTGCTTAAATATAGTATCATCAACTGGCCTTTTTTATTTGAGCGGTGAACAAATGAATAGTAAAAGACAAGATACTAACTAGATAAGGGATGAGGGAACTTTTTTTTTTTTTTTGATCAACAGGGATGAGGGAACTTAGAATGCATGGAATTATCTTGATCTGAATAATCTCTCGCGAAAGTCCGTCAATGCTGTAGCTATCTTTTTCTTTCAAGGCCGGTTTGGCTGGCTGGCTGGCTGGCTGACTTTCCCCGGAAATGACCAAAATTGACTAATCAAGGAACAGTAATGGTCTTCTGGAAAGTATGGCTGGACTTGACCCTCTCTGGTCGGCAGTGGTAAAGTAAATATATTTTGATCAAATTATAAAAATAATGAAAAACTTCTT